ACTCTAGAAAGTGCAACAAACAACAACTTGCATACTCAAATCGGAGGAAGCCACCGAAATAACTTCAAGCGATTCCAAAAAAAAAAAAAAAATTGGGTTTTCAATCTGAACTTCTTGTGAACAATCTTAAACCCTCGATTCCGAAAAACGAAGCAGTCGCCGAATTCGTACAATAAATAATAGCCCTCTCAAATAAAATAAATCTTGCAGATCTAGAACATGCAGTAAAATCGAACCACGGCACCTTCTATTCATAGAAAAATCAATACTTATATACCAGAAAACCTTGTTTCATTAACTTTTTCGTTTGATCTATGATGAAGCTTCAAATCTCTGCAAAAGAAAACAAAAATAGAGGATTAGAACTTCTACGATGGTCAGCATCGAAAAGCTTCGGTGAAATTAAATGTCATATAGACAAAATTGTGGGAAAACAGAATCGAAGAAAAAAAGAAAGAGGCGAAGAAGGAGCTCAGGATTTTTGTCGACTGCAGAGTGAGAAAATGAGGAGGGAAAGTGTGTGTGAGAGAGAAATGTCGAGAGAGAGATGGTGAAGTATGGAGCTTGCGTGTTAAAATGGAGAGAGAAGCAAGCTGAGAGTAGAAAAGGCAAGAAAACAAGTTAGTAAAAATATCTACCCTTTTGCGGCTCGGCTGGAAAATGGCTCGGCTTCATGGCCATTTGGCTTTACATCGGCTTATGACCAGTATCAAGAGAAGTAACTCTTTTAATATATATATATATATTTGAGTCCCTCGTCCATCACTAAACTTGTGAGAACACTATGTCAACCCTTACCGCACTAGCATAAGGCATACTTATAGCCTTGGATCTTGCCTAGGTTGTCTTCTTAGATAAAAGTCTAGAAATTTCCTCGATGAAATCATGCTTCCAAGTGGGTTTCAAACGTCTTTATATGGCCACCCTTCTTAACTTGGATGGACTGCAATGCTCATTGCCACAGCTAGTTTTCCAGATTTTGTAATGAAGGCACGGCGTAGCTAGGATCTGAATGCCTTTTCAGACACTGACACTTTAAGCTTGTGTTTTGTGAAGTAGCTTCTTCTTTGTCCAATCACCAAGTCTACATTTCGAACACACGCACACATATATAGAGTAGTGTCCATGTGCAGCTAAAACTTTTCTTATTTTCCTTTTTCAAAAATGAAAAGAAGAAAGATAAAATCTTGTTCTGTCATACCCAAAAAGTCAATAACTGCCAAATAGATACAAAATATCTGTATATTCAGTTGAAATACACGAAATAAGAAATATTTAGCCCAATTTGACAATCTTGAAAACTTTTTTTTACGTATTCATTTTTAAGTGTATATTCACACAATAAAATATTTTACATGTAAATAGAATTGTATAATAAATTTTTATTTTTTCTTTACAGATAAATTGACCGTCTAGATGTTCACTCATAAACGCGGCCAATGTAACACTAAAGATCACTTGTCACCATAGTTTTAACTTTATTTCAATTTGAAGCTATGGTGATTCGGTCACAAAAATTTTAACATCATTTTACAAAATAATTTTTCTTAGATAAATTCGTCTTAATGTTATTAAGTATCTAAAGTGAAAAATCGTATGTTAAACACAAAATTTGTGCCATTGAAATGCAATTTTTAACACGATCGTTACTTGTGAATTAGGTAAACACGACTTTTATAAGTTAAAGCATTAGGTGGTAATTAACAAGTATTATTTTTATTTTTTAAGTCAACCCACCACAAGCAAAATATTTAAATCGCGTAGAAAATTTTCGACAATCGTATTGTTGATTTTTCGACTTGACCTGAATAATTTACACTTGATAGCGCTGAATTTGAATAATCAACCTTGCGTCTAATCGATGATCGTTACCTACTCGCACGTCTCTTCATACGAGCATCGATTGTATTTGGTAAGTTGTATAAACTTTCCACAAAAATAAAAACTAGTTACTAGGTTTAAGCAGGTTAGTCCAAATAGGGTCAATTTTCACTTAATTGTATTGTTTCATTAAGGATCAACTATATAATTTTAGGAGGATTTATTTATGTCGTTACATTTAAGAAAGAAAAAGAGGAATGCAAATTTAGAGGAGGTCATTCGACATAACCAAACTAGGATATAAGGTTGATATTTAATTCAAAACCTCTTTTTTTTCTTTTTTTTTTTTTTTTTTTTTATAATGACCTTTACATATCGAATTGTCTCTTTATTTGTCGTAGACTACTTCTGATAAGATGAATATATTTCATGTCAATCAACCCTATTTCTTAATAGGGTTATGGAATGTACGGGCGCAGATCATGGAGCAAAAAAGGGTTAAATATCGATAGAGAGAGAGATGTAGAATCTTTCCTTTCATACTGATTGACAATGATATACTTTATTCTATTACTGCGAGAGCGAGACTTTACAGATCTTACACGTGTCGATGGCCTTTCTTTCTCTCCTATTACTGGATAAAAAACTTCATGTAAGATTATGACTACCACTTGTGATAAAAAGTTTTCTAGGATGATCCACGAGCATTTGCATACTAACGAAAAAGAAGTGCATTTGTGCTCATGTCATACTTTCATCATCATGTTACGTGTGTAGAAATTTGTTAGCTTGTGGCGACTTTCTCTTCCATCCGTCTGCTATCATATCGATCCTATTAATGAGATTCATTAATGATATACTGTCCTTGTTCAGTTCTACTAAAAAGTTATATTAAAATTTAAGTCAAAATTAATAATTAATTTTAACAATATATTTCATGGAATTTACAATTTTTTAACCAGCTATAAAGCCCTTGTTTGATCTCCTTTAAAACAAAAGAATTTATTTTTGATATTCATTTTCAATCCCAAATTCTTCAATAAAATCATTATTTAAAATATCATTGTACGCAATAATGGTCATCAAACATGGACAAAATGTTATCAAAATTACTAAATACTTAGAGTTTGCTCTTTTTGCTGTTTTCGGACCATTTTCAGTTTTCAATTTTCAAAAACACTGAAAACACGTTTACTTACCTATTTTCAAAAACGAATTTTCAAAAACGAGTTTTGCAAAGAAAACGAAAAACGTCAAAAAGTCATTTTGGCTGTTTTCAGTTAAAACAAAGCCAAAACTTCATTTTAAAATTTTTGAAAACAATTTTTCAAAATGACAAAAAAAAGGCATTTTCAACAATCTCAAAATATACATTCAAAACATAAAACTCAAAATGAATTCAAAATTAAAAACTAAAAACTGAAATACGAAGAGAACGTTCCTTAATTTTTATCTAAACCAAATGGGGACTCAATATCATTCATGTGAGAAATCCACCTTGTTGATAACCAAACTCAAAACAAACATTTTTTTTTTTTTTGGTTTTTTTTTTTTTCTTTTTCTCTCTTTTTTTTTTTTTTTTTTTGAGAATGACCTTTACCTATCGAATTGTCTCTTTATTTGTCGTAGACTACTTCTGATAAGATGAATATATTTTATGTCAATCAACCCTCATTTTTTATGTCTTTTATAAATTATTATAATGTGCACTACATAATTTCAAATTAGAATCTTGTCACACACGATACAACTTAACTAAGCGATATATTCTTGTAGCTCGTGACAATCCCTCCTATTTCTTAAAGAGGAAAGCATGTTATGGAATGTACGGGCGCAGATCATGGAGCAAAAAAGGGTTAAATATCGATAGAGAGAGATGTAGAATCTTTTCTTTCATATTGAATCATTGATTGACAAGAATATCCTTTATTCTGCCATTGTGAGAGCGAGACTTTACAGAGCTTACACGTGTCGATGGCCTTTCTTTCTCTCCTATTACTGGATAGAAAACTTCATGTAAGATTACGACTACCACTTGTGATAAAAAGTTTTCAAGGATGATCCACGAGCATTTGCATACTAACGAAAAAGAAGTGCATTTGTGCTCATGTCATACTTTTCATCATCATGTTACGTGTGTAGAAATTTGTTAGCTTGTGGCGACTTCCTCTTCCATCCGTCTGCTTTCATATTGATCCTATTAATGAGATTCATTAATGATTTACTGTCCTTGTTCGGTTCTACTAAAAAGTTATATTAAAATTTAAGTCAAAATCAATAATTAATTTTAACAACATATTTCATGGAATTTACAATTTTTTAACCAGCTATAAAGCCCTTGTTTGATCTCCTTTAAAACGAAAGAATTTATTTTTGATATTCATTTTCAATCCCAAATTCTTCAATAAAATCATTACTTAAAATATCATTATACGCAATAATGATCATCAAACATGGACAAAATGTTATCAAAATTACTAAATATTTAGAGTATGCTCTTTTTGCTGTTTTCAGATCATTTTCAATTTTCGATTTTCGAAAACACTGAAAACACGTTTATTTACCTATTTTCAAAAACAAATTTTCAAAAACGAGTTTTGCAAAGAAAACGAAAAACGACAAAAAGTCATTTTGGCTGTTTTCAGTTAAAACCAAGCCAAAACTTCATTTTTAAATTTTTGAAAACAATTTTTCAAAATGACAAAAAAAACGCATTTTCAACAATCTCAAAATATACATTCAAAACATAAAACTCAAAATGAATTCAAAATTAAAAACTAAAAACTGAAATACGAAGAGAACGGTTCCTTAATTTTTATCTAAACCAAATGGGGACTCAATATCATTCATGTGAGAAATCCACCTTATTGATAACCAAACTCAAAACAAACAGCTCAGAACCAAAAAAATTGTGTGACTAACATGAAACTTGGCTCAAAGTTAGGAGACCTGTAAATTCCTCTTCCTCCATTTTTCTTCCCCTCTGAATTTTGTTCATGGGTTTCGCCATGCTCATACCCCTCTAACTGGAATCTATAAACCCTAACCACTTTACCTAAATCGTAGAAAGTACCAAAATAAGTTTTATTACTCAAAATTACAACTGAAAATATCCACACACACACCCCCCGCCCCCCCTTTCTTGTAAGCGTTTTATTATTATTGGTGACAGTATTATTATGTATAGATCTGGGGCGGTGATGGCATGGAATGTATTCAAATTTTGTACGGCCTTGAGGGGCTTGGGTTCGATCATGATATTACTAGTCCTCGGCGTCGTTGGGGTGACGTATTACGCCGTCGTAATTACCAATTATGGCCCGGGCCTCACCGCTGGTGGGCTTGATTCGCTTATCGCTTTTGTCGTCCTGATCTTGTTCCACTTCCTGGTAATTCCTGCTTAATTTCTTCAGTAGTTGAAAATTTTCGTATCTGCTACGTGTTGGTTTGATGGATGGATTTTGATGGTTTGCTGTTGAAAATTGAAATCTAGTTGTTATTTTGGCTATTTGGACTTGATGTTTAGTTGAGTGTTCGGATATTTAAAAGTTAATGTGGCTAGTAAAAGATGACGGTGATTTTTAATCATATATGGAAATTCAGCTGTTTTTGTTTGTTTCCAAGATAAAATTTTATCACGTATGCTCAATTTTGGAAACCAAATTCTAGTTAATCATCTACTTTAGCTGAAAATTGGATATTTTAAACTTTCTCCAATTAGCTATTACTTATTTGATGGGTATTTAATCTCTTGATTAAGAAATTTACTGCTTTCACTGTTATTAAGGATCATAATTTGATCATTCTAGTTCTTAGAACACAATTGCAATTGAAAAGAATTTGTTTTAATTATGATTATCTATTTGTTTTTTCATCTCTTGAAATAACTGTGATTTTTACAACTTGAGGGATTTCAAATAATTAACTTTTAGCTCTATATTTGTAATTTGTAAATTGGGATATTGATGTGTGATATACAATATGGAATGGAACTCAACAATGAGTAGTTTTGTTATTCAGCTGGCAATGCTACTATGGAGTTATTTTTCTGTGGTTTTTACGGACCCCGGTAGCGTGCCGCCAAATTGGAGGACAACATTGGATGAAGAAAGAGGGGACACTGACCCGTTGACCTCAGTGGAATTTCCAGTGGACTCTGAGAATGGAAGAATTCGAATTTGTAGAAAGTGCAACAACTTAAAACCACCTCGGTGCCACCATTGTTCTGTTTGTGAGTTACTCCTTACATTACTCTCATGAGTATTCATGGCATTCTCTAATTACTTTTAAGAGGAACAAGTTGTTGTTGGACTACCTTCTTAGGTGGAAGGTGCGTGCTGAAAATGGACCATCATTGTGTGTGGGTTGTCAATTGTGTTGGAGCCTTGAACTACAAGTATTTCCTTCTCTTCCTGGTACGATGTCTTAAATTTATAGGAAGTGCTATTGGTCGGTTTGATTGATGATTATGTTTGGTTCTGAACTATCATATTACAATGTAAATGCTTCTTTTGCTCAATATTGTCCTCTCTGGAATATGAGTACTTTTTGCTTTGTCCTGAAGTTTGTATCGTGTAGGAATGAGTTGTCCGTTTCTTCTTTCTTTGTGTACCTAGCATGTTGTTAAACACTCAGCATACTGAACCTTTAGCTTCTATGATATTGAATAATTTTGCTCATACTTGCAAAATTAGTTCATAATGGAAAAACTTGTAAATGTGCACGACCAATCAGTTGTATCTGGGCTCTTGGGGATTGAATAGTGGACTGAAATAACAGTATATCTGTTCTCACGATATAAAGTAGTATCGCTTCAATTTGAAGAATCCTTGTATGCATGTCTTGAAATGAAACAATTGGAATACAGATGCTTGTTTATGATGTATGTGATCTCTGATTTTTTCAAATGAAATGACAGGCTGACGTTTGAATGAAACTGGGTTTTTTTCCTCCCTTTTCTTTCATTTATAGACACCGTTTTGCTTGTAAGGTCCGGTGGTTAACCCCTTTTGATGATGTCCGGGATATTTGTCCAACCCTGCGTTAATTTCTGTGCATTCAATTTCAGAAAGGGAAAGAAAAGCTTTTTGTTCTTTTCTCTACATATGATTACATTATTGTGTATCTGAGGAATTTGGTAGTATTTCTTGTTGAAGCCTTGGAGCAAAATTGTAAAGGTGGCCACTATAAACTTGATAAGTTGGCTGTGAGAGGATCAACTTTCATGCTCATTTTATGTTACCTATATCCTTCTATTCAGTGATCATTGCTGGGTTTAAGTTGTGGAAGGCCCTATTCTGCAATCATGTTTGCTTTTGCCCTTGTTTGAGCCCAATTCTTAAAAATTGATTTTTCCGTGAACTCGTGTTCAACCACACATTCTCCCAAGAAAATAATTTTACACGTAAACCCAAAACTTTTCCCAACTTTTTAACCACGTTCTCCAAAAAATCACTATTACAAAACCTATTCTCCGAAAAAATGGGGCTAAAACATACCCAATGAATTCTGCCTTTATGTTTTCATCCATTTGGCTTGCTAAAGGGAAACATATCCCGAGTCTTTCCCTTGCTTCGGCATATTTATATGTCTCTTCCCCGTCACCCATTGTAACCACATAATTATTAGAAAATTATTAGAAAAGCATAAGGAAGGTAAAGAATGCATGAGAGCATGAGGAGCTTTTTAAAATAATTGAAAGAAATAAAATGCTCCTCATTGTCATCAAGGATAATCTGAAAGTAACGTGCAACAGTGAGAATACACTTATTTTAGTACGAGTAAAATGTTAATTTCTGCCAGTTGTGTACCAATTATTTTGTGGGCTTGATATTCAAAAACACGATAACAAAATATTGTATGCATTTTTATGAATTTTTTTCTTTGCAGGTCTACACATTCCTTGAGACTACTCTTGTGACGTTATCATTACTGCCACATTTTATTGCCTTCTTTAGTGATAAAGAGATACCTGGGACTCCAGGGACCCTGGCAACTACCTTTCTTGCCTTTGGTAAGGGCACATATTCCTGCGTCTCCATGCTACAACCTCCTCCCATCCTCAATACCCTTTTTTCCAATTCCTGTCACATATAAGTTTTATCTAGCTCATGATTTCGCTATGTTTCACAGTATTGAACTTGGCATTTGCTTTGAGCGTTATGGGATTTCTGATAATGCACATATCACTGGTGGCTGCCAATACCACAACCATTGAGGTATGATACTTGTATTGAGTTTGATAATCTAATTTGGATGTAGAGTATATCCTTCAAATAGAGTTCACAAATTGTCAATATCCTCATCACCCCCAGATTATGGCCCTGGGGGACCAAATTTTGTTATAATCTTTTTGGTGCAGTCCAATAGAGTATATGCTTTAGGTTTATGCGGGCTTTGCCCATTTTGACTAGCAGTTGCTGTTTACTATCCGTTTCTTCTGTCTTCTCCTCAGAATGCTCTTAATATTTGCCTGAGACACTTTGGGTGTAGGTTGTGCTTAGCGTATAGAGGGAGAGGGAAGAGGCTGAATTGAAATGTTCTAAGTTGATTAACCCAGTCAAAGCCATTTATTCCTTCCTCCGAGGATACATTTCAATCGAAGTGGTTGGAGTGATGATAGCTGATGTTTTTATTGACTTGTATTCAGGCATATGAGAAGAAGACTAGTCCAAAGTGGCGTTATGATCTTGGGCGGAAAAGAAACTTTGAACAGGTTGGTTTGACTTTAAATGGATAAAATATGGTTTCTTTTTCTCACGAAAGTTTGCTTTAATAGTGGCTGAAAGTCTGCCCAGTGGTTCACAACTGAATAAATATCAAGAAGTAGGTTTTATCTTTCAAAAAAATAAAATATCAAGAAGTACTTGATATTTTTCTTGTGTATTCTTAACACTCATCAGGTGCCTCAAAAAATCCTGTAGCATTGTTTGTGTGAATATGTATGGTTTATTTAGTCAAGGAAACTAATTCGCACGTGATTTGACAAGAGATGCCATGCACAGTTTAATTTCCACAATATGTTCCTCTGGTTAGGTTGGAAAGTGGGATTACTATATAATGATGTCATTGAGATTACTGCTGTTGTCAAGCAAAAATCTGTCCACATAATCTAATCTGGTGATATTATCTCCAAGGGAAAACATAGGGAGATGAAGAAACATGAAAAACGAAATTGAGAAGGCACATGATAATTAGCCCCTGTTTGGCCCCCATTTCTTAATATTAATTTTTTCCCAAACTCATTTTCTACCACATATTTTATGGAACCCACAACTTTTATCAACTTTTCAACCACACATTTCACTAACTTTTATCAAAATTTACTAAAATCTCAATTTTTATTCAAACCAAACAGTGGCTTAATAAAAGCGATTGTTTACAATTGAAGAAGTAAGGCTGAAGGGTAAAGAAGAAGAATAAAATCTTGAATTCTATAATCCCTAACACAATTTATTTCCAAAATCTTGAAAGTAAAGGTTTTTGTTGCGTGTTTGCATGCATATATGCATGTATCATACAAGGGACATGCTGATCTGTGCATTTTTTACCTAGAAAAGGAATCCCAAGAGCATTCGAGCAGATCAATATCTTTATACAATGCTGATATCTTCATATGATGTTTCTCTTAGTCTTCGGGAAAACTGACATTGCCATTCTGATCCATGAGACACCAAGTGTCAACTGTTAAAGACTTAAAGTTGTCTTTGTGATTTGTCTTACTGCATGTCGTTGGCTGGTGTTCAGCATCAGCTATATTTAATCTAAACTCTCTATCCCCAATTAATTACAGTTTTGCCTATAAAAATTTCTATACGCTCATTTAGCCTCCTTTTGGCAAAATTTGTAAATTATTTATAAATGGTCAAACTTCATTTTCAACTTTACATTCCAATGACCCACAAGTACTATCAACTTATCCATCTCTCATTTATATCTCTATAAATTCTTCCCAAATGAGACTTGTGTTCTGATCATTTTCTCCATGTGGTGCCACATTGTGTAAATTTCTTAGTGGCTTAATTGGTAATATATAATAGAAATGGCTGAATCATGTTTTCTTTCACCCTTTTCAAGTTTCTTCTCCTCAACTAATGTATCTCCTTTCGAGTAATTAGGTGTTTGGAATGGACAAGATTTACTGGTTTATTCCAGCTTACTCAGAAGAAGATTTACGGCGGATACCTGCCCTTCAGGGTCTTGAATATCCTTCAAAGCCTGACTTGGATGCCCAAGAATTCTGATGATAAATATATGGCTCCACCTGGGCATCTTTTCACCTTACAGACTCGGAAGCTCCAAAAGACTGATAATTTTTTCACCTTTTAGTTGACTTAATCGATTGTAACTAATTTGGGACTGGAGCACTCCGTCTCCGGTCTCTCTGCTGTATAATGTTAATGGCATATTTGATAAGGTGAGTTGGACAACAGTGGATAGTATTCAAAGAGGAAAAGAAGTTAAAATTTTAATTATTGAACTGTCCAATCCTATGTAATATTGTGTTGTACAACACGTGCCCTTGAAGAAAGAGCAAAAAACATGCTTCATGCAGAAATTTCCGTGTATTGTAGCTGAATCAAGGACGTGCTTCATGCAGAAATTTATATGGGGCGCTGGCATGGAAATTTCTTGCAAGATTTGCATGATTTGTTTAGGGTGTGTTTGAGTCATTATTTTGGAAAAATGCATTTTGGAATAGTAGATTGATGGAGAATGTGTGGTTGAAAAAAAAGGAAAAGTTATTGATGTGATAAAAAATATTATTTTATTGAAAAATGTGTGGTTCGAGTAGAAGAATGAAAATAAAAATTTTAAGCTCAAACATGGACTTAATTTATAGATGAATATTGGTTAGTTACACTCAACAAAAGTGTACTGCTCTCTCTCTCTCTCTCTCTCTCTCTCATGTTTTATGGTTTGTGGCAATTTGGTATTTCTGAAATTGAATTCCTACATTTTAGTTCCAGCTTTTGAAGCATAGATTCTTGTCATGATCAAATGATGAGATTTTCTCGTGGAATATGCTACTTGTCATTGTACTTCCTACTAGTTATTCTCTAGTTATTTAAAGTTTTACAGTGACAATATTTGCAGATGGTTTTATATCCTGGGTATGTTTTCAGATTTATGAATGTAAATATATCACTAAGGACTCAATTTTGAAATTTTGCACAAGAGAACAGTTGAACATGGAAGAGGTGCAGGATAAAAAATCTTGTTATTCTGGAAAACTTACATTTTTCACTCTTTTGGGCAGATTTCGTAGGACATGCACATAATTTATCGCATGCCCTTGAAAGGAAAATTCCATTCCCACGAAAGTCCACATGACAGCCAAAAATACTGCACTCAGCGCAACGCCACATTTCTTACAGATGCATCGGAGTCTAAACTCTAAAGTGGGCAATTGCTAACCAGGAGCTTCATCGCTAAATGTTTCGGTAGGATTTTATCACAAATTGAATCACATGTGCAGGTCAAAAAATAATACGCGTTACACTAAGGAAAACAGCCATAACAACTTACAATGCTAAAGCAAGTATATATGCTGCAAAATTTAAAAGAAACACTCCTTTACAAATCAAAAAAATTGGCTTTTCATTCCCTCCCACGATTTTCTTGATATATGTATAATTCGATAAAGTTCTCAAACACTGACCTATCTATTCGTCCCCAACATTTGGAAACTTTTTCAACCATATATTGCATCAAGTGACAGCAGAAATGCTTTACCATCACCTACAACAACTGCATTTTGACCTTCTGATCAAAAATCTGATCTGGCAGCAGCAAAGGATGAAAGAAGCCCGGCAGCTTGCGCAGGTAATATGTCACCAAACCTGCCAACTTGCCCATCTGTCAGGATTGAACCTAATCTAAGTGTGCTCTCCCCAAATTTGCTGCCAACCTGAGAATGACCAAGGATTCAAAATAATTTAGGAAATAGTTTTATGACAAATGCTTAGTCGACACATTTATCTAATCTATTACGAAAAAATGGAAACAGCTCTAAGAAAGAACCAGTTTCTCTTATCAATAAGTCTACGGGCCAATTAATCCAAAAAATGGCAGACTGGGAAAGGAAATAAATTTCGTTATTATCAAGTACTGAAAATATTATTTTTTTTTCTTTTTCCAGACAGAATGATTGGACATCGATAATGTAGCTGATGGACAATACAAGAATGTTGTAGCTGCAAGTACCAAACAGCACGTAAAATATGGTACAAGTTATGATTGTAAGAAAAAGGGGATAGCGATATAGTTAATGTCAAAGCTAGCATAAATAGAATTTTGCATCACTTCTTGGCAACAAGTTCCCAAACTAATGAAACAAAAGGATAAGTGTTAACTGAAGAAGCAGCCTCTTGGAAAAAGGTGCTTGAATTCACTGTAGTGCACATAGCAAAAATGCCTCAGCATTTTGGAGAATCACGTGCTCGGACCATTATACGAAATAATGACTCCCTGCTTCTCTTTTTTATCCAAGGGTCTTGTTGGAATATAGGGTAAGGAGAAGAGCACGAAATAGCACACAGCTGATGCTTTTATGCAATAAACTTCTCGCTCTCACTAAGAAAACCAAATTTTATATGGTAATTGACTTAACATCCTTTCTATAAAAATATAATGAACTTTGTTTTGCTATAGAGTTCATTTTGACGCCTAGCATTAGGCAATTTTATATCAATTTCAACATGACTCACTTCAGCAAGCGTGTGGTGATAAAGACCTTGAAGAGGCCAGTATACAAAATATAGCTTAGATCTTTCTATAACTGAGTCCTACTGCCTTATCCTTCGATTATTGCTTGTTCACCAAGGCTATGTTTGCCACACAGGAGTAGACTGTACAAGAAATTATGCATAAAATTAGAGATAGTACTAGATAGATATTATTAAGATGGATTAAGGTGGAAAGTAATTATAAGTTTTTAATTCAAAAGAATGTTAGTTGCACTATCTTTCTTATCCGTCCTAAACTCACCTCCTCGCTTCATATTATAATATCCTGTTAGGTTAAGAAAGTTAGTACAAATAACAATCTTTTGAATTAAAACTAAAAAATGTTATCCACCTTAATACATCCTAATACTATCTACAGTGTATATCTACTCCAATTTTATACTCAATTCGAGTGTACCAAACACAACCTAAACTAATATCATGAGTCCAAAATAATCATACTTGAGCCAGTTGAAATACGTCAACAGCATATCAAATATCAGACCATAAGGGATGTTACTGCCGATTTTTTTGCTTGACGAGATAGGTGGCTAATGGCTTTGAGCAAAAGATCCTTAATTATCACTAAATCATGGAAGGTTTTTCACACAGAAGAACCTGCTTAACACTATCTACACCATTTTCATTAACTTTAGGCACTTCTAAACTGGGTCTTTCTAGAAAGTGTTGCTTCCATCTACCTGCTTAACACTACAACACCATTTTCATAAATTCAAAAAGTTTAATCTGGAACTTTTTTGAAAGTGTGGCTTCTGTCTACTCATTCTCAAATTGTTTGACGGCAAAATTTTACTATATACTGTCCAGAATGAGCAAAATTCCAGTCACTTCTGACACATCTAACACCATCATTGCATGAGACTATGTAGACTTTGGCAGTCCAAGGGAATTTTGTAAGGAAGGCCATCAGGCAACATAAAATGAGCCGAGACTATGGAATTCGCCAACAATTACAAGGTAAATAAAATTTTACCTCCATGAAAGACTTAAAAAGTGGTGCTGCCATCCCTAAACTCGAGTTCTCGTCAATGTCAATCTTTCGCGATATCTCATCATTTGTGTAACTTCCCCATGATTTTCTCAAGGAAATATCATCCATAGATGTGGATACCCTGGCTGCACCCCTCGAAGACAATGCTGGTGTACTAGATAAAAATTAAAAGTTTTAGAACACATTTTCTCTGTCAAGGTGTAGAAATCATCTACAAGGAAAAGGACCATATGAACAAGATATTTGTTGTAAAGAATAGTGAACTACCTGATGGGAAGATACTTGAAACGGGATACTCTAGAGCATTGCATTATATTTGATTCAGAATTAGTGGGCAACTTCTGCACAGTATCCATATACATCCGATTAAGTTGCACAAAAAATCCAAAGACAACAGCATGCCTAAGGTATGATTGCTTCTCATTCTCCCAGAGGTATGGCTCGTAGCTGAAATGTAAAAAAATAAATCATGATTAATAATTGAATCTAAAGAAACATAAGTATATCTATCTTTTTTGCACCATAAAATATTTTGGTTGAAATGATACCATACCACAAACTCTTGTTTTCCCCGCTAGAAAGATGTAAACCAAATAATTACTTCCCAAATAATCTTGACAGCATAAATCTCAATGCCCGGTTATTTGTTTTGAAATGTGCAATTCTTCCATTAAATTACTTAGATACAATTTTTTCAATGGGACTATTATCAATACACAAGAAGGCCGAACAATCCACTCAATCAACTACTCAAAATAGACTCGAGCATTCAAAACAAAAAGTTCATTAGTAGATTCACTAACTTACGTTAGCCAGTCTATAGGATCCAGTCTTTGTGAAAGACGATTTACCAACCCATCGATACGTTCTCTGATGACTGATTTAGTTTGCCGTAAATCCTGTTTCCTTCTAAAAGATCTGTTCACCTTTGGAATTTTAGCGGACTCCTCGTTTGCACTAAAATCACCACCACAGAGTATATCAGCAGCAAATTTTAAATCCAACAAAACTTGCATAACACCTCTCTCTGACACTTGATGCCCATGAGCTTCCTCAATTGAAAGGAATTCCTCATAAATTCCAATTAACTATGCAAGTATACAATCAGAAAGAATGGAGTTATATTTTTGTGCAATAAAAAGAAAAATGGTGATGAATGAATCTATGAACATTATAATAAAAGCATTAATTGCGTAGAAGTTACAAAAATTCATGTATTCTTTAACCACTCTCATCTTGATACAGACTGCTCAATTTCAAATATGGAAGTTTAATATAGTTGCATTCAAGATAAAAACTTTGCAGACCTTCTCTTTCAGTTTGGAACTCAATTTGTCATGGAGACACACTACGAATAATATTTTTTGGAATTCGTTACAAGAGGTTCCACTTCACAGGCATGTATAAACTAACTGACACATTGCAAGCTAAAAACACTTTTCATCCTGAACGTAAAAAGGATAACAAAATCTCAATAATTTCAGACTGTCTCCTGTATGAATAA